TCTGAGGCCGAGAGAGTGTGACTTTCCCAAGATCACCCAATGGGTTTCTGTGGCCAAGTTGGGATTTGAACCCTGGGCACCAGAGTCCAAACACAGCCCAATGTCCCAGCCCAACAACAATAACAATTTCTTGGTGTCTTGCTTTTCAGGCCTGTTCCTGGTGTCCTTTGGGGCACTAGAATAGACCGAATCAGTTCTAGTACCCTTCCACACAGCCATATAATCCAGACCATCAAGGCAGAAAATCCCACAATATCTGCTTTGAACTGGGATATATATCCCAGTTCAAAACAGATAATGTGGGATTTTATTCAGTTGTGTGGAACCGGCCTTAGATATATATTGTCGAAGGCTTTCATGGCCGGAATCACTGGGTTGCGGTGAGTTTTTCGGGCTGTATATGTCCCAGAAGCATTCTCTCCTCACCTCACAAGCTCTGAGGATGCCTGCCATAGATAGAGGCGAAACGTTAGGAGAGAATGCTTCTGGAACATGGACATACAAACTTAACAGCAACCCGGCCTTAGATAGAGTTATGTTTTTCTTTAGCGACTGGATTATGGGTTATAGATGTTCTGTGTATCTCAAAAACTAGAGGGAAACGGAGGCGATATTTTGGAACCAGCAGGTCAAATAGACCCAGAAACATGTCCATAAAAATGTGTGTCGGGCTCGGCCAAGGGCTGTCAACAAATAAAAACCGGAAAGTTGTATTTTCCTATTGAAATGGCTTTGGGGTGGGGAATAAAAGTCGGTTTCGATTTTGTAAACACAGATGGTGTTCCTAATTGGGAAGGATCCCCAACTGGAAGCTTTTTGTTGACCTCCTTGTGAGAAATGAGTAGGCTTAGACAAAAGGAGATTGTAGTCTCCCCGCTTCTCTCTGGTGTTACTTGCAAGCATGGGCAAAGTTGGGCCCTCCAGGTGTTTTGGACTTCAACTCCCAGCATTCCTAACAGCCTCGGGCCAAAGGGCCCGAGGCTGTTAGGAATGCTGGGAGTTGAAGTCCAAAACACCTGGAGGGCCCAACTTTGCCCATGCCTGTGCGACAAGGCCCTTTTGCAAATAGACCCAGATTTAACACGGCCTTATCTTCGACTTCTTCCATTCTAGGATTAGAAAAAGGCAGGGAATTGGATGCATGTTCACCCTGGGCGCAGAAATGGATTATTTCGGCTGAAGTATGTATATATATATACACACACACATACATATACATACACACAGACATTCCCTTTAATGTGTATGAGTGTATATACATATACACATGTAGATATGTGTGCGTATACTACATTATATAGTATATAATGTAGTATACACACACACATATCTACATCTGTATATGTATATACACACAAACACATTAAAAGGAATGTGTGTGTATATATATGTGTGTGTGTATGTGCATGTGTGTATAATATATACACACATGCACATACACACACATATATATACACACATTCCTTTCAATGTGTTTGTGTGTGTATATATATATATATAATATATATATATATATACATATGTAGATATGTGTGTATATATATACTACATTATATACATACACACACAAATATATATACACACATTCCTTTTAATGTGTATGTGCATATACATATGTGTATGTGTGTGTATCTATATAAATAAAAATGCAATGTTCGTTTGTGGGATTAACATAACTCAAAAACCATTGGACGAAATGACACCAAATTTGGACACAACACACCTCTCAGGCCAACGAGTGACCATCACTCATAAAAACACCGAAAAACACAGCGGAAGATACTTAAAAAGCCAAAAAAATACTGAAAAACACAGCAGAAGCCAAAAAAAAATTTAAAATTACATTACAAGGCATGCACAAAACCACACATATATACGCAAACACATGTACATACACATTTACACAAATATACACATATACACATATATACATACACAAAGCACATATATACAGACTGGGCCACAGCAACCTGTGGCAGGGGCCGGCTAATATATATATATAATGTTATGTTCGTTTGTGGGATTAACGCAACTCAAAAACCACTGGGCGAATTGACACCAAATTTGGACACAAGACACCTCTCAGGCCAACGAGTGAGCATCACTCATTAAAACACTGAAAAACACAGCAGAGGAGACTTTACAAGCCAAAAAATAAAAAATAAAAAAATACATTACATACAACTCATGCACAAAACCACACACACATATATACAAATACACATATATACACACACGCATATATACACATACAAAACACATATACGCAGACTGGGCCCAGCAACTCGTGGCGGTGGCAGCTAGTGTGTGTGTGTGTGTGTGTACACACACACACACACACACATAACACACATATACATATATACACACACACACTAAAAGGGATGACATACTAAAATCGGTCTTCACTTCTTTCAGGGAAAGTGTATCTAATTAATCAATTACTTTAGAAGTACGCAAGCCACCTATTTTAAAAAATATATAGTTACATAGACGCTCCTGTTTTACCCATTTGGTGTTATTTGTAAACAGCTGCGTAAAACAACACTGTAAACTAAAAGGTAAAGGTTTCCCCTTGACATTAAGTCTAGTCGTGCTGCTCAATATCTCCATTTCTAAGCCTAAGAGCCACTTTCCTGCGGAAGAGGTTCCTATTGATCTTCTCACATTTGTATGTTTTCGAAGTGCTAGGTTGGCAGGAGCTGGGGCTAACAGCGGGAGCTCCCCCAGCTCCCCCAGAACCGCCGAACATTCAGTCAGCAAGTTCAGATCAGCAAGTTCAACAGCTCAGCTGTCCCTTTTGGGTGATGAATGCCTTTATTTCATATCCAGTCAACCCAATTGCTTCCCAGTGCTTCCACAGCGAGGAATCAAATCGAAAATCGACCTTACTATCCCACAAAATTACTCCTCTCTGATCGATTTCTCAGGTTGTCAGAGAAACTTCGCAGATGCTCAGCATATTATTATCTAAATCAACATGGATACTATTGTTTACATTTTTAACTAGATCTGTCTGATCTTGGAAAGCTGAGCAGGGTCGGCCCTGGGTATTATTTGGAGGGGAGGCCGCCAATAATACCAGGTGCAAATAGAACTAGTTCTCCCTCTGAAATACAGCCTAGCTTAATTAAATCCATAGGGTTGCCCTAAATGGAAAGGCGAGTTTGGCAAGCAAGAGGTCAGACTAAAGCTCCATTGAATGAAGCCAGAGGGAGAATGCAAAGTCGATATATTTCTGGAACATAGCCATACAGCCCGGAAAACTCACAGCAACTCAGTGATTCCGGCCATGAAAGCCTTCAAGACGCACGCTCCCTTCTTCCCCTTTGGCCCTTTCCCTTCGGTCTCTTTGGGGGCATCTACACTGCAGAATTAACGCGGTTTGACACCACTTGAACTCCTACAGAGACGCACGCTCCCTTCTTCCCCTTTGGCCCCTTCCCTTCGGTCTCTTTGGGGGCATCTACACTGCAGAATTAATGCGGTTTGACACCGTTTGAACTGCTCAGTGCTGCGGCACCCAGGGAGCCGTAGTTTGACATGGTCCTCTGTCAAAAAAGGATCCTAGAGCATTGAGAAAAGGATGAAGAGTTCATCACAATAGAGGATGAATCCATTTTCAATCCGGTTTCTGCTTCCTGCAGAATTCTGGAGTTTGTAGTTTAGGGGGGCTGTTAAAGGTTCCTCCCTAAACTACAAACCCCAGAATTCTGGAGGAGGCAGAAATAGGATTGAAAGTGGATTCATTCTCTAGTGTGATGAGGTCCAAAGCGGTGTCAAACGGGGACGTTCATTCCGCAGTGTAGACGCATCCTGATTGTGCTCCAGATCTCCCCATATTTCTCAATAAGTTCATATTAAAAGGGGTCGGTGGGGAAGAAATAAAATATAGTATTACCACCATTATCATTATTATTATAACGGCGTTTCATGCAGTCATGCCGGCCACGACCTTGGAGGTGTCTACGGACAACGCCGGCTCTTCAACGCCGGCTCTTCGGCTTAGACATGGAGATGAGCACCAATCCCTAGAGTCGGACAAGACTGGACTTCATGTCAGGGGAAAACCTTTAACCTTTATTATTATTATGACTATTATCAGCCTCGTCACCATTGTTATGAGTATTATTCTCAGCACTGTTATCATCACCCTCATTATTATTATTATTATTATTATTATTCCAGCCGAAAGTAAACAAGAGGGTCTAGACTCCAAATACACGACCAAGTTTGGGTCCCTACTATACAAGGATTGGGCTTGAAGGGAAGCAGGAGACCCGAAAACTCAAGGAAAGTATGTCTGCACTGGTCGTTTAATGCAGTTTCGAACCGGTTCCTGGAGTGAAAGGAAGTTTGGGTCTCATTTTGAGCTTGAAGGGAAACAGGAGATCCGAAAACTCAAGGAAACTACATCTACACAGACCATTTAATGCAGTTTCGAACCGGTTCCTGGAGTGAAAGGAAGTTTGGGTCTCGTTTTGAGCTTGAAGGGAAACAGGAGATCCGAAAACTCACGAAAACTACATTTACACTGGTCATTTAATGCAGTTTCAAACCGGTACGAGGTTTGAGTCTCGGTTTGGGCTTGAAGGGAAACGGGAGAGCAGAAAACACAAGAAAACTACGTCTACACTTGTCATTTAATGCAGTTTCGAACCGGTTCCTGGAATGAAAGGAAGTGGTTTCGCTATGCCCTCCTTGGAAATACTCGGACGCTTGTGTGGCTAACCTTTCGCGCGCTTTTTTGTATGGCGAGGTTCAAACTGGGTTAAAAGGTCGGTGTAGACGCCGGGGGTGGGAAATACAAACCCCGGTTCCCTTCCACAGGCGCGGATTCAAACCGAAAGCATGCGGAATTAATGCGGTTTGAGAACGCTTGGAAGCAGGCCTGGGCCAACTTGGGCCCTCCGGGTGTTTGGACTCCAACTCCCACAATTCCGAACAGCCGAAGCGTTCTCAAACCGCATCCATCCTAAAAGGTGTAGACGCCCACTCACCTCCTTCGCCCACTCGCCACTTTCTCTGGCTTCAGCTTCAGCTGCAGACACAGCAACGTCGTGGCAGGAGTTAGATCCACGCGCGGAGCCTGTTGGGGTCTCTTAAGGGCATATTAAGCCCGGGTGGAAGGGCATCGGGCGGCTGCTGCTGCTCCTGCTTCTCCTCCGTGGCGGCGCTTCTGCCTTTCTCCCTTCCTTCCTTTCCTTCCTCCGGCCTCGTTCGTGCGTCCGTCCGCTCGGAGTGAGCCAGCCTCCCCCTCCCGGCCGGGGACATCCCATCCCAGCCGCTTAAGTGCCGGGGAGCGCTGTCCCCGCCCGCCGGCCCTCCCCGAGCCCCCCACGCTCGAATCTTCACAGCCCCGAAAACCCAGGCCACGCCCCCTCGCCCAGCGCTCACGAGGTCGCCAAGCCCTGACTCCGCCCCCAAAAGGGGCGTGGTTAGAACGTTCCCCCTGCTGCCTTTTTGCCGCCGCTCTGTTTACAAATTGTGTTTGGATAGCAACTCGGGTTTTTAAAGGGACAGCGCCCCTTTTCTCTCCTCCCCCCCCCTTCTTCCTCTCCTCCCACCTCTTTCACAGGTTACCTAAAGTGACTCCCCCCCCCTTGCTTAGCCCATAAATCAGGGGTCCTCAAACTTTTTAAACAGAGGGCCAGGTCACAGTCCCTCAAACTGTTGGAGAGCCGGATTATAATTTGAAAAAATATGAATTCCCTTGCAATGTATTGTCGAAGGTTTTCATGGCCGGAATCACTGGGTTGTTGTAGGTTTTTTCGGGCTATATGGCCATGTTCTAGAGGCATTCTCTCCTGATGTTTCGCCTGCATCTATTGCAAGCATCCTCAGAGGTAGTGAGGTCTGTTGCACCCCCCCCCGAAATTCTCATGGTGGTTCGCGAAAAGGCCTTACTGTTGCATGATTTAAACTGTTATGTTTATTCATATCATAATCTGATCACCCTACTCAATATATCTCGTTTGGGGGTGGGGGTGACTTTTTTCAGGGGGGGTTTGGGGGGCTTAGTTTCGGGGGGGGCTGAGTCTGAGTGAAAGAGGGTCTAGCCTAGCAAACCTTTTGTATCATTACCCCAATACCCCCATGCATATGGGATATATTGAGTATGGTGATCAGATCATGATATGAATAACATAACAGTTTAAATAATGCACCAGTAAGTCCTTTTCGCGAACCACCATGAGAATTTCGGGGGGGGGGGGCTGAAGCCCCTCAAGGCCCCCCCCCCCCGCCCCATGCCTGTCTGATCACCTACTCAATATATCCCATATGCATGGGGGTATTGGGGTATACGATACAAAAGGTTTGCTAGTAGACCCTCTTTCACTCAGACTCAGCCCCCCCCCCGAAACAAACTCAGCCCCCCCCCCCCATTGAAATCCTGGCTACGGGCCTGAGGAAAGCACATCTACATTGTTCCCTGACTTTCCTTCATACCTCTGAGGATGCTTGCCATAGATGCAGGCGAAACGTCAGGAGAAAAATTGCCTCCAGAACATGGCCATACAGCCCGGAAAAACCTACAACAACACTATTCAAAGATAGATAGAATCATAGAATCATAGAGTCAAAGAGACCTCATGGGCCATCCAGTCCAACCCCCTGCCAAGAAGCAGGAATATTGCATTCAAATCACCCCTGACAGATGGCCATCCAGCCTCTGTTTAAAAGCTTCCAAAGAAGGAGCCTCCACCACACTCCGGGGCAGAGAGTTCCACTGCTTGACAGCTCTCACAGTCAGGAAGTTCTTCCTCATGTTCAGATGGAATCTCCTTTCTTGTAGTTTGAAGCCATTGTTCACGTCCTAGTCTCCCGGGAAGCAGAAAACAAGCTTGCTCCCTCCCCCCCATGAATGAATTCCTACGCACACTGCACATATCTTATTTGTAGTGCAAAAAACACTTAAAACAATACAGAATGAAGAACAATTTTAACAAACATAAAATTATTAGTATTTCAATGGGAAGTGTGGGCCCACTTTTGGCTGATGAGATAGGAATTGTTGTTGTTGTTGTTGTTGTTGTGTGCTTTCATTTCAGACTTAGGATGAACCTGAGTGAGCCGGGTAAATGACCTTAGAGGGCCGTATCTGGCCCACGGGCCTTAGTTTGGGGACCCCTGCCATAAATCTTAAGGTTGGAATCCACGACATGTGAGTGTGGAGAAGAGCAAACCACTGACCACCTACTACAATGCAACTTGAGCCCTGCCACATGCACAATGGAGGATCTTCTTATAGAAACAACAGAGGCACTCCAAGTGGCCAGCTACTGCTCTACGGACATTTAAATAGAATGCCAAGTTAGCAAACTTTGTGTTGGTTTTAATCATCATCATCATCATCATCATCATCATCATCTTTATTCATACTCTGCCACCATCTCCCCAAAGGGAACTCTGGGCGACTAACGTGAGGCCAAGCCTAACAATAACAATACAACAAAACAAAGTTCAAAGAAACAAAATAGCATCAAAATAAACACATGAAATGACAAAATAAAATGAACAGTCTCAAAATAACATGATAGAGAGATGAAACACTCGGCAGGCCAAATGTGCTAAGAATAATATTGATAAAACTGGTAAAAACCTTGGTGAGATAAGAGGAATGTGTGTCTGGGGGAGAATACACTACAACTGTTCAGTTCGCTCCTGACATGATAAATAAATAAGCCCATCAAATCAAATCTTCCTCACTAAGAAAATCCAACATATGCACCTGGAATACTGTGACCAGCTCTGGGCACCACAGTCGAAGGGAGATGTTGACAAGCTGGAATGTGTCCAGAGGAATGTGACTCAAATGATCAAGGGTCTGGAGAACAAGCCCTATGAGGAGCGGCTTAAAGAGCTGGGCATATTTAACCTTCAGAAGAGAAGGCTTTTTTTCCCCGTGTCAGGAGCGACTTGAGAAACTGCAAGTTGCTTCTGGTGTGAGAGAATTGGTCGTCTGCGCAGGGTACGCCCAGATGTTTTGATGCTTTACCATCCTTATGGGAGGCTTCTCTCCATGTCCCCGCAATGGGGAGCTGGAGCTGACAGAGGGAGCTCATCCACCTTCTCCCTGGATTTGAACCTGTGACCTGTCGGTCTTCAGTCCTGCGCCACGGGGGCTCCTAAAGAAGAGGAGACACAACGAGGGCCATGTATAATATGTGAGGGGAAGTCATAGGGAGGAGGGAGCAAGCTTGTTTTCTGCTGCCCTGGAGACTAGGACGCAGAACAATGGCTTCAAACTACAGGAAAGGGGATTCCATCTGAACATTAGGAAGAACTTCCTGGCTGTGAAAGCGGTTCAGCAGTGGAACTCTCTGCCCTGGAGTTTGGTGGAGGCTCCTTTTTTCGAGTCTTTTAAGCAGAAGCTGGATGGCCATCTGTTGGGGGTGCTTTGAATTCGACTTTCCTGCTTTTTGGCAGGAGGTTGGACTGGATGGCCCACGAGGTCTCTTCCAACTCTATGATTCTATGATACTGCAATTCTACCTTGTGTTAAGGAACAACAAAAATAGAGGGAAAAAAGAGCTGCAACCAAACTGGATTTTCTTCCTGTCTTCTTCCGATGCTAAAAGTGAATGATGTATAGTAACAGAAAGAAACTGAGACTCCACCACAGACATCAGAAGAGCTGCAAGGCCAAGAACAAGCCATGAGAGTCAAGACCAAAGATCCACCTAGAGGAAAAGTGTTCTTGCCATACATCAAGGGAAGCACTGACTGCATAGGGAAGCTGATGAGAAAACACAAATAATCTACAAACCCACTAAGAAAAGCCAACAAATGCAATGTACAAGAGGGATCCTCTCAGCTCTGCAGGAGTCTGCCATATACCATGCAGCTGTGGACAAATCTACATGGGGACCACCAAATGCAGCATTGGCCAAACACCAATCAAGGAAGATGAAAGGCACTGCAAACTACTTCACCCAGAGAAGTCAGCCATAGCAGAGCACCTGATGAACCAGCCTGGACACACCATATTATTTGAGAACACAGATCTGCTGGACCACTCTAACAACCACCATGCCAGGCTACACAGAGAAGCCATTGAAAACCACAAGCATGTGGACAGTTTCAACAGAAAGGAAGAAACCATGAAAATGAACAAAATCTGGCTACTTGTATTTTAAAAAAATCTCTAAAAGTAGGACAGTAAATAAAGAGCAACATTTAAAAAGCAGGGGATTTCCAGACATGAAACAATCAGGGCCAGCTAACACCTCTCAACAAAGGATTCCCCCAGGCAGGAAGCAGCCAGGCCTTTCCAATGCTAATCAAGGTGATCAATTGCAACATTCACAGTTGCCTCCAACAGACAGGAGTTCTTTCTCCCACCCTGGACATTCCACAGATATATAAACCTCCCTTGCCTAGTTTCCAACAGACCTCTGAGGATGCCTGTCATAGATGTGAGCGAAACGTCAGGAGAGAATGCTTCTGGAACATGGATATTCAGCCCGGAAAACTCACAGCAGCCCATCTACACAGTTGCAACCCATCTGCACAGTTTGGAAGTAGGTAGTATCGTAAGTGTATACTCAGGCTGCAGCTACACTATCCTATATCCCATGATCTGATCCCAGATTATCTGATTATCCCAGATTATTTTGCAGTGTAGGCTCGAGCCCCTTTACATTTTTTTTATTTACAGTATTTATATACCGCTTTTCTCATCCCTAGGGGGACTCAAAACTGTTACATTGTCATACAATCCAGATTATCAAAGCAGACAAACCATATTACCTGCTTTGAACTGGATTATATGAGTCTACACTGCCATATAATCTTGTTCAAAGCAGATAATCTGGATTTTATGCAGCAGTGCATAAGGGGCCTCATATAATCCAAATGAGATAATGCAGTTTGGCTAGAATTATAATGAGTCTACCTTGCTGTCTCAAACTCAGAATTAAAACGTGGCTCAAACACCGGCCCCATTTACACTGATTTATAAAGCAGTTTGGACATGCATTATATGTATGCCAATGAAAACTGATATAATGCAGTGGCTATAAATATAATTGACCATATAATGAATGCACTTTCATTTTTTCTTTGCTGTAGACTTGTATGATGCAGTTTAAATGCAATGAACTACATTATAGAAGTCTACATTGACCTCATTATATACTTTGCTGTAAACTTGTATGATGCATCTGCATTCTACATTATAGGAGTCTACACTGGCCATATAATCCACTTTGAAAGTGCCTTATTTGGCAATGTAGATGGGGCCCATTACAAGTAGAATGATAGAAAACCAGAGTTGAAAAGGATTCCAAATGCCACCTCGTCCAGCCGCATTCTGCCATGCAGGATGACACAATCAAAGCACTCC